GATCCTTTGAAATTATCATTAATTCACTGATCATATGATTGTGCAAATATTCCACTCTTGAGCGATCTAATCAGATTAAGTACTTATTAAAAAACTATGGATTATTCCGAAAAACTACTTACTAAATATAAGTAATACCGTTGTCTTAAGGATGAACATGTTTGCATCATGGTTACTACCCCTCCTCATTTGTCTTACAAGACCCATTTTCCATGTTACATAGATTGGTACATGTAGGTGTGTAACATCTCAAATAAATTTAGATGAATACAGATCTCAAAACAGATTTACTGGTAGCCTTGAAAAACAACTTATAACATGGAAAATTGGTCAATTGAAATGTATCTAGCCAAGTTTCTCAAAAGCCCCGTGCTCCTTTGAAATTATCATTAATTCACTGATCATATGATTGTGCAAATATTCCGCTCTCCGGTTTCAACTCACCTTGAGCGATCTAAACAGATCAAGTACTTATTAAAAAACTATGGATAATTCCGAAAACTACTCACTAAATATAAGTAATACCGTTGTTTGTGATGATTAACATGTTTGCCTCATTGCTACTACCTCCCCTCATTTGTCTTGCAAGGCCCATTTTCCATGCTACATCCATTGGTACATGTAGGTGTGTAACATCTAGGGGGAGGAGTGGTGTTTATTTTCTCGTGAAATAAATACCGACAATTTCGATGAATATTTCCATCAATTTGTCATGGAACTAAATTGCAAAACGACAGCATTTCGGATAGGTCGGATCCTTATTTCATCCTCGTAGCCTCTAAATCCCGAACCAATCGCAATCTGAACACTGAATCTTGAAGAGGTAGTTGCTAAACTCTGAGAATTCAATCCTTCATCGAAAACTCATAGTTTAAGCTTGAGGAGGTGAGGTTGTCTGTTCACTTTTATCGTCCCTCGATTAGTGGTTCAGCAAGCCTACCGAACATTCCAAATGACTAGATTTCGATACTGGTCTGGGAGACGTCAACTATCAACTCATCCTGCTTAAAGCCTTCTTCCGTGTCTGTTCCTGTTGGTCCGATAATGTCTTCTCATCTTGATTTCATGCCTTCAAGACGACCTCGATGGAGGAATCTACAACTTCGTTCTCTGCCCATGTTGTCATGTCTTCCTCCAGCACAAGACCAATGACCGACAAAATTCACAGACGTAGCTGCTTTATCTTCAACAAGAAGCGTCATCTTTTACAGTTCGTCAAAATAGCAAGTAGATGCATGTGTATTCGAATTAATTAGACTTTCGACTGTGCATTTTTCCACAATGAGATAAGTAGACCCCAGATGACCACATAAACTAGAGGTAATACTACTTACTCATTAACACTCAAAGTAGCACGGTCTACTTTTTTGCACGCTTCCAGATGAAACAATTCCTTGTGGAGAGAATACAGTTGCACTAGCAATGAAGGGCAAATCGCACCTTAACTCTTCGATTTAGATCATCTTGTTGAAGACAAAGCCAGAATTCCTGACCCAAGTTCTCACAACTTGTTGTTCGATGAGTTGCTAGAGTTGGGAAATGAAAGGGATCAGATAGGCTGAAGCATCCGCAAGCATTGTCCAATTATGTGGACTGAATATTCGTTGCCAAGACGCTATCCTTTCGCATTGAGGGTTCTTAGCTCAGGCACATGATCCACTGTTCAAGTCAAATATTTTCATACACCTTGCGGCCAATAAGGGACGACTTTTTCCTAGTACCCCTTACCATCGCACAACTAGTACCAGACAATTTGCGTAGAACGACTGCGAGCAAAGCTGTTGCTAGATGGGCTTGAGATTGTTTTCGAGACTATCAGAAATTCTTGAATAAAGGCAAAGTCAGCCCAGATCGCTTAAGAGGATTTAGGGAATTAAAATTGAGTTTTATTACAATCGGACGAGTAGGCTTGTTGAGGCAAGCATAGCTCCTTTGTCTTCATCATCCCATCAGCACCTACGGCGGGATTCGGTCCCGGATCGTGAGTATCATGGTACTGTCAGCACTTCCCTGAACTGCCAGAAGTGTTAGATTGTCTCAGAGAATCACGATTCCCCCAAATGACAGTTATAGGAGGATCGCCGACTAAGCAGGCATATATTTACCAAAAGCCATAGAAACATTACTCATTTTCGATGTAAGTAGTTTTAGATAATGGCAATATTTCTTTAATTTATTGAATTCTTGTTACAGCAGAAAGGAAGTAAGCAAGTCCATCAGTAATCGGGTGCATTTATACAAATAAAGAACATCCTGTGGCTGAGACCACCGTTCGACGAGGTTATAAATTGTGTATAAACTTGACTGTCTAGTCTGAGTTTCCGTTAAAATCTCTACTTTATTGTCCAATTTGCAGCCCTGCACAAATTCACATGACCCAAGTTAAAAGGGCTTTTTTCTCTCTGGATATTGTTCTGATTGGCCGCCAATCATACCGATGGGTATAATCGAGGGAAACCACATTTTTGCAGGACATCAGCCTCCCCTCCTTCGGGTGAGCGAGGCAAGAGGCAGGTTTTCAAGAGAGGCGTATCATTCGGTACCATATTGGGGCTGGTGTGTAAGTCTGTATGCGAGTGTGTATTGTGTGTTTCAGGGCACTTGACCTTCTTTTCCATAAAAGGCAATCGAATAAAACCCACATGAGACCCCCTTTCGGGGGATCATCTCAACTCTAATGAGGAGTACTCAGTGCTCAACAATCTCGTAAAGTTCATTTTTGGTTGGGACAACCCTTGTACGCCAGTCAGCACGGGTCGCTTAAGCTGATTGAAGGGTTAATACTTGAGTTCTCCCACAATCATGTGAATAGACCTTGGCTCCCTAAAAGGCTGTCCCATCTCGACTGAACTTGACTGCAGTTTCGGCCTCACCTGAACTCATCGCATGAACCCCTTCAACGGGACTCGAACCCTAGTCGTGAGCATCGCAGCGAGGTTGTCAATCCACTTCACGGCCCCAGGTCCCACTGGGTCACGGGGCAGATATGACATACCAAATCGCGTTTTATATTTTCGACAAACAACTTGGTTTTGTTGTCAGGGCGACTTAGTAGAACGCAACTTGTCAGAAGTCCTCTGTCATAAGTGAGGGCTGCCATTTTTCGCTCGACCAACGCTCTGTCGAAAACGGTTACACTCTCACTCCTCTTTCCGTCCTGGCCTATCTATACACTCTTTAGCCTCTTATCCAACTCCCGCCACATCACAACTTCTCACTTGTTTACATTCCACTACAGTAGACAATGTTACCGCTGACTCCAACTCCTTCCAATCACTTGTTTATTAGATTTTTCTCACCAACGATGTCGATGGCCTCCCTAATCTTCGGCTTCTTTGTGTTGTCAACGCATGGGGTCCTTCTTTCTGTTGCCTTCCAAGTGATCTCGTGTCCAGTCTGTGCGGTGTGTTCCGCTAGTTCTCATCTTTCGGTATCCATTTTCCTGCAGAGCCTTTGATGTTCCTTGATTCGTGTGCCAATTTGTCTCCTTTTTTCGTCAATATATTTCTGTTCACATGCGCCTGAACAATCCTATTTGTCTACGCTTTCATGTTGCGTTGGTAGACTTGTGAAAAGTGTCGATTTCTCCTTCATGACCACCTGAATGTTTCCTTTACTCAATATTGGCTGTCGTTTTGGGGTTAGTTGGGAGGAATCTTTTGTGAATCCTGACCCCTCCTTACTGTTTTCTTCGGTTTTTCACGGCCCGTACGTTTCTTGGTATTACTTCGATTGGGTAGCCATTGTCGAGCAATATCTTCGTCGATTTGTCCAGCTCCTCGTCCCAGAATTGTACATCCGTCAGGCGTAGGCTTCGGATCATCATGCTCCTCATTATTCCAATCTTTAGCCTGTACTTGTGATGGGACTGGAAATGGAATATTCTTCTTCTTTCTGAACAATTTCTTCTTGAGCGTCCCATTGGAGCGAATCATTTCAACATCCAGGAACGGTAACCGCTCACCTTCCTCCACTTCCATAGTGAATTAGTGTCTCAATGCCCCAATATTCCATTAAACGGGGCTAAAAGGTTTTAGGGTTTAACTTTAGATTAACATCTTTACATCATAATAGGTAGAATATTATCGTATTGGAGTAGAGTGTCGAGACTACCAGTAAATCAGTAATATGTGGTGGTTCGACTCCCGCTGAGTGTGTTGATAAGACCGATGTGAGGTCGCAACTGCAGTCCACTCCAGCCGGTATGAGAACAACTATTGGGAAAGCAAGGCTATGTGAAATTCAATGGAAACGTTGGCTCTACTCACATCATTGTGGGAAAATTGTACTACCAGTCCTACATCGCATTAAAAGAAATTGGGTGAATAGATCTTATACTACTGATTCAACTGGTAGTCTCTAAACAATACTTAAATGCGAAAAATAAAATAAGGTAGTCGATTGTTATAGCAAATATACGTTGTGAAATGAGAACAACTTTTGGGAAAGTAAGGCTATGTGAAATTCAATGGAAACGTCAGCTCTACTTATATCATTGTGGGAAAATTCTACTACAAGTCCTTCATCACCTTAGACGAAATAGGGTGAATACGTCTCATATTATATTACATAATATTATATTATGATATATTATATTATATTATTTTATTTTATTTTATTTTATTTTATTTTATATTATATCATATTATATTATTATATATTCTATTATTATAAATTATTTTATCACGTCAGCTCTACTCATATCATTGTGAGAAAATTCTACTACCAGTCTTTCATCACCTTAGACGAAATAGGGTGAATACATCTCATATTATATTAGATTACATTACATTATATTATATTATATTATATTATATTATATTATATTATATTATATTATATTATATTAT